ATAATGATAATAATGATAGTAATGATAACAATAATAATCATAATAACAATACTAATGATAACAAACAAATTATGACAATAAGAATGATCAATAATAATAATAACAATGATGAACAATAGCATAAAAACGAGAATAAATAATCATAAGAAGAAGAATAAACAGTATGATTATAACAATAAAAAAACAATAATAACAACAAAACAATATCCCAAAGAAAACGGAAGCAAAACAAAGAACATGGCAACCGAACGAGCAGAGGAAAAGGCTGTGTGGGTATCGGGTGGGCACAGGGGGGGGGGGAGGTGTCATGGGGTGTGGGATGGAGTGGGCAGAAGGGGGTATGAGGTGGGTAGAGGGGGGAGGGCTTGAGGTGGGCAGAGGGGAGGGGTTTAGGTGGGCAGAGAGGGTGGGGTCAGGTGGGCTGAGGGAGGAGGGGGGGTGGGGGGAGGGGGTCAGTGAAGCCGGGAGGGTCAATCAGTATTCGAGGCACCTTTACAGCTCGAACAGTGCCAACCATACACCCGTGAGTGTGCACCGACTTACAACACAGCAATCACCGACATACCATTTTCACTCTTAGGTCGTTATAGCTTTTTATACCAAAAGGGGGTATGTCATCGTATATTCCGTTGCAGAGGTTGCAGGTCGTTTTAAATCGTGCAAGGGTATGACGCAATCACATCCGTCCGGCCTCATGATGTGATTATGTCATGGAAAAAGGAAGGTTTATATCTGTGAATGTTTAATGTTATTTGGCACTGAGAAAAGAGTGATCAGCGAGTGACGATTGGCACTGGGAATTTTATGTATATATATATATATTTTTTTGACTGGACATGATTATTTATTCAATTTATTAGGTGTTAAATCTGTTGTTTTCTTTCAGCTGATGTTACTATAATTTGATTTACGATTAAAAGAACTATTATTTTTATTAGCATTCTCATATAATAATAATGATAACTATTATTGGTATATAATTGTTCTTACTGTTGCTGGTATCTTTCTTAGGCATTTACCACTATTATTGATATTTTGTTACTGACATTAATAGTTAATGGTAACAATTCGCGCGCTCTTGTGCACGTGACGTAATTTTAGTACACGGAAGAAATATCATTATTATGTGGAAATCGAAGTATATTATGTAGTACACGTTTATTCAGATTACATTTTTTTTGTTTTCTTTCTTTATTATTTTTTCTTCTGCGTTCCATTCATTATAGCTGTTGAAAGTGATAGAAAATAGTTAGGAGTGTGAAGATAAATCATAAACACTCGGTGCTTGTGACCATAAAGTTTCATATAAATCAATATATATCAGCATGAAGAATAACTTACCTATTATTGTTATTTGTTGGACAGTATGCAATAACGACGATCTTCTGTTCATTTAATTAACTTAAATTAACAGACACTTTATCTAATATGGTCTACTTTCACTTAATCATCACTAATGAATCTACGTCAATAGATATCTTTCAGTAACATAAAGCATTAAAATCTATTCTTAGCTATAGCAGGAGTGTATTTTTTCATTATTAACGTTTTTATTATTGTTGTTTTATCCATAAATAATAAATATTGATTTCTGGTTAACAATATTGGTGATATGAATAAGAAAATGTAATAAATATGTAATATAAGTGATAAAAGACGAAACATAGAAAATGTGATTTATAAGGAGACATATCAATCAATTCTCAATTTATAAATAGAAATATTTGTGTGTCAAATATTAACATTACAGATGTTAAATCCGATTTTATTTTATTCTTAAAAATATCGTTTTTGAAACGTGTTTTTGGAAATTTTCAGTCTATGAAAATAAGGGGTTAATTTTCTAAACATATGACCTTTACTAACGAATTAGATATTATCAATCGATTTCTCATTTAATTAGTTAATTTAATCATTTACCGTCATTGTTTATCAGCATTTATCCGTATTTTTCTTTTCATTCGCAAAATTTGAATTTCTGATAATCATTTAAAAACGATTTAGTTCACGATGTTGAACTGAATTATTAAACAATATCAGTTACATGTATAATTAATAGAGAACTATTTTACTTTACAATTATATTGGCTTTGTAAACAACTCAAAATTTCACGTTTTTTTTTGTGTGTATCTTTTCCGAGTTTTCATTCCAGTGAATAGAATAGAAAAGATAGCAAGAGATAGAAAGAGGAGGAGGAGGAAACGGAGAGAGGGGGTGGGGGTGGGGGTGGGGGTGGGGGTAATAGAAGGGAGGGATGGGGGGTGGGGGAGATGGAAGTTGGTGAGGAGGGGGAGGCAAGAAGGTGGGGGGTTGAAGATGGAGGGGGGGTGAAGGGGTGGAGGGAGAGGGAGGGAGAGGGTGAAGAGAGAGGGAGGAAGAGGGAGGGAGAGGGAGGGAGAGGGGGGGAGGTGGTGAAAGGGAGGGATGGAGGAGGGAGAGGGAGGGATGGGGGTTGGAGAGGGTGGGGTGGGGGGTGGGGGGTAGTGAAAGAGTGGAGGGAGAGGGAGGGATAGGGGTTGCAGAGGGTGGGTGGAGGAGGGGGGAGCGGGGGGGGGTAGCGGTAATGTCCGACATCCCTTTTGAAGGCGGACCGTCAACTAGCAATTACGTCCAGAAATCAATACTTCCGCTATACGATTTTCGAACTTCCATACCTTTCCGCGGGTCGTGCGCCTTGAAAATCCCAGTGGTATAACACTCTCTTCGTTCTCATACGAAAAACAAAACAAAAGCAAGAAAGGTATTTCCTAAAACTGTGTATTGAAGTGAGGAATGTGAGAGTAAGAGCATTAATAACGACTTGTACTAAACAAGGTACTATATATCCTGTAGGATCATTTTGAACAGGATATGTCAAGGTAGAAAAGACTGAGTTTAGCTTCCTGATGACATGACATTCATGTTCGATTCACGTACTTGCAGACACACACACACACACACACACACACACACACATGCACACAAACACACGCACACGGAGGGAGAGGGAGGGAGGGAGAGAGAGAGAGAGAGAGAGAGAGAGAGAGAGAGAGAGAGAGAGAGAGAGAGAGAGAGAGAGAGAGAGAGAGAGAGAGAGAGAGAGAAAGAAAGACAGAAAGCGAGCGAGAGAGAAACTTATATACTAACAAGCTAAGAGAAAAGAAACATAAAAACAAAAGCAGCAACAAAGAATTAAAACAACTTCCCCGAAGTCCTTTCATCACCCTCCCCCCACCCCTTCACCTCTCTTTACACCCTACCCCCCACTCCTCGCCCCCTCCTCCCCGCCCTCCGCCTAAGCCAGGAATACTCAATTTCCTCGAGGGCCAGCGATCACTTTTCCAAAGGATGGCGGTCACTTCCCTAGGGATAAGGGCTTCCTCAGGCCTCATAATATCCTTCCCCTCCTACCCTACCCCCTACCCCCCCTCTTCCCCTACCCCCACCACCATCATCTAAAGCACGTGCCTAGCAACAGGAGCCCTCTGCCCTCTCCTACTCTCCCCCTCCCCTTCCCCTGTCCTTTCCTATCCTTCCCCGCCTCCTCTTCCTCCTCGGCTGTGTTAGGGAATACGTTTGTGTAAGGTACTTACACAAACGTATAAATAGGTACGTATAAATATATCTTTATCATATATATATATATATATATATATATATATATATATATATATATATATACACACTCAAACATACATGCATACATATATATGTATCTTTTTATCTAACACTATATACATATACATATATATATATATACATATATATATATATATATATATATATATATATATATATATATATATATATATATATATATATATATATATATATATATATATATATATATACATACACACACGCACACACACATGTATGTGTGTGTGTGTGCGACGACAAACAATTTTACAAAGAAGTACAAAGGGGCCATAACCGCGTCTCGCAGAGAGAGATAGCGAGAGAGACAGAGATAGACAGACAGGTAGATAGATAGAGATAGAGAGAAACAGAAAAAGGGAAAAGGAAAAAGATAAGTTACTTGCAAGAAACAGGAGCATATGTCTAAACTCAGAAGAACAAGACTCAGTATCACAACAGGCGCCACAACTTCCCCACAACCCCCACCTCCCTCAAAAGAAAGAAAGAAAGAAAAAAAAACAGCAGACGCCACAACCCTACTCAAACACACACATTTCCCCCAGTAATAACAACCCCAATCCAAAACTAATCAGTCCAAAGCATAGGCGGCGGAGCGAGTCTATGACTGGGTGGGGTGGGGGGGGGGGCGAATGTGAAAATTCAGAGATTTCAATAAAAAAAAAAAAGATAACCTGTCATAGGTAGCGAGGGGAGTCTTTGCTTTGAAGGAAGGGGGATTCGAAAATCAAAAGCTTAAGACATATTAAAAAAAATAGCAAACATGACACAGTTCTTACATAATCATATACTTAGCACATCAGTGTATTCAGTTCTGCGTTATACAAATAATACCTAGAAGTAATATATCCATATGACTTGCACAATTTATGTATGTTAACTGTGTTTTGTTGTGGTGGGGTGGGGAGGGGGCGATTTGCTTAAAAAATAGATTACATGTCCATTCGAACTCCGCTAGTTAGGCGTTCATGAGCTAAGGAGAGTCTGTCCTTTACTATACTATACTCCACTATACCTATACAATACTTTCAATAAATCAAGTTCATGGAAACAAACATGTCTACTGTAAGAATGATACCCATTCTGGTAAAATGAGATATAGTATAATTATAGTATATTTTGTATTAGTCTGTGTGAACGTGTAAGACCAAATGTAGAGCACAATTTCTTCAGCTATTTCTGGGGGGGGGGGCGGAGATATACTCTTGCCCCTCCAGTTTTAATTCGGGGGGGGGGCGCTCGCACCTCAGCCCCCCCCCCCCCCCCCGGCCCCCCGCTTCCGCTGCCTAAGTCCCGAAGCTAATCACAACCCCGACCGAAAGCTAATCAGACTCCCTTCTTCCCTCCCGCGGCGAAAGGAGCGATGGTGGCGACCCTGGCGGTGGAAGTCGACGGCCGGTCCGAGGGAGGCCTGAGGGCCGGCGCGCGCAGGATCCTCAAACACGTCCGCCCGAACTGGCCTCATGACAGACTGCATTTTAAGGTATTTGTGTTAGCTTTTTTTTTTTTTTTTTTTTTTTTTTTTTTTTTTTTTCTTTTTTTTTTTGCTTTTGAAGATATCTTTTTGGAAGATATTCTATTTATTTTTCGGGGGTGTATTTTTTATATTTTTTTCGAAGGCATTGCATATTTTGGAGGTGGTGGATTCTAAATACAAATAAATATATATATGTATACATATATATATATATATATATATATATATATATGTATATATGAATTTCTTTTTTAAGGCATTGCATTATCTCTCTCTTTTTAAGGTACTGTACTTTATTCCGAAGGTGTATTTTTTCGAAGATATATATATATATATATATATATATATATATATATATATATATGTATGTGTATGTATATGTATATGTATATATATATTGTTTTGTATTATTTTCCGGTATGGTATTTCTTCAAATGTATAATATTAATTAATTTATTCATTTTTTTGTTTATAATTCTTTCGTACAAAGTTTCTTAGTAGTGTTTTCCTTACTTAGACTGACGTTTTTTCCAAGGCAGTGTATTTAATATTCTATTTTTAGTTATTATTTTTTAAAATTTTCTATTGTATTTTTATTTATTGTTTGATTCCTTTTATGACTGACCTTGGAAAAGATTGCAATGTATGTCAAGTTCCAATAATTTTTTTTTCGTCAAAAGTTTTTTTTTTTGCTTTTATTTACATTTTATTAAAAAATCCAATTGTGGCTTCTATCTCATCTACTTTTACTTTTTTTTTCTTTTTAATCAGCCATTCTTCCTCCTTCCTTTTCACCCTCATCTTCTTCCTCTTCCTCCTCTTTCTCCCTCTCCTCTTTTCCCACCTCCTCCTCCTCATCTTCCTTCACCCTCTCTGCCTCCTTCTCTCCTCCCCACCTTCTTCCTGAATCCTTTACACCATCTTTCTCTCTCTCTCTCTCTCTCTCTCTCTCTCTCTCTCTCTCTCTCTCTCTCTTTCTCTCTCTTCTCTCTCTCTCTCTCTCTCTCTCTCTCTTTCTCTCTCTTCTCTCTCTCTCTCTCTCTCTCTCTCTCTCTTTCTCTCTCTCTCTCTCTCTCTCTCTCTCTCTCTCTCTCTCTCTCTCTCTCTCTCTCTCTCTCTCTCTCTCTTACTCTTTCTAACCATCTTCTCACGCCCTCTCCCTCCCACACTTTCTAGCCATCTTCTAACACCCTCTCTCTCCCACTCTTTCTCCCTCTCCCCACCCACTCTTACTCAGCATTTCTTACCCTACTCACGCCCTCTCTTTCTCTCTCTCTCTCTCTCTCTCTCTCTCCCTCTCACTCTTTCTCACTATCTCACGCCCTCCCTCCCTCCCACTCTTTCTAACCATCTTCTCTCTCTCTCTCTTTCTCCCCCTCCCACTCTTTCTAACCATTTTCTCTCTCTCCCTCTCCCTCCCACTCTTTCTCAGCATCTCACGCCCTCTCTCCCCCACACCCAGACCTACACTGCGGGCGTCACCAACATCCTCGTGGGCGTGTGGTGCGAGAGCGAGCGAGACCAGGTGTTGGTGAGGGTGTATGGCAACAACACCCACCTCTTCATCGACAGGCAAGAGGAAATTAACACAATGAAGGTGTGTTACGGTGTTTTTTTTTAGGGTCCCGTGTTATGGATAAAGATGGAGTGTTGTGTTTGTTTTATAATTATTTTTTTAAATTCAATATTTGTTTTATTTTTAATATTCAAAGGCGTTTTTTAAATTTAAATGTTATTAATCAAGGATGTTTTTTTATTCATTTTATCATTTCCTTTATTTTTATTAATTAAGGGTGTTATTATTTTTATTTTAAAATTATTATTATTTATTTTTTTTTGTTAACTAAGAGTGTTTTTATTGTTAGTTTGTTCTTATTCTTTTGATTTTCATTAACCAAGGATGTTTTTATTATTTATCTATGTAATTATTTAATTTATCTATTTATTTGTCTATCTATTTATTTATCTAATTAAGTAATTGCATGTATATCTATTAAATATGTTATTTATTATTCATTTCACATATGTAATTATTTTCCGTTTATTTATTTTTTTTTAGGAAAGAGAGGACGTATATTTTTTCTATGTTTCAAATAATTCGTTTTGTTTAATATCATTTTTTCTTGTTTTTTTGTGTTTACATATATTTGTGATAAAAGTAGTAAACAAAACTTTTTCCTTTCTCTTCCTTTTACCCTCATTATCCCCCCCCCCTCTCTCTCTCCCTGTCACCCTTCTCTCTCTCTCTCTCTCTCTCTCTCTCTCTCTCTCTCTCTCTCTCTTTAATCTTTCTTACCTCTCTCTTTCTTTCTCAATCTTTTCCTTTTTCGTTCCTCCTCTCTCTCCCCATCTCTCTCTCTCTTTCTTCCTTCTTCCCTCCACCCCCTCTCCCTCCCCCATCCCCCTCTCCTCTCTCTAACCACCTTTCCCTCCTCCTCTCCTTCCCCATCCCCCCCTCTCTCTCTCCCTTTACCCATTTTCCTCTTCATCTCCTTTCTCTCTCCTCCTACCCACTTCCCCTCCCCATCCCGCTCTCTACCCTCCACCCCCTCTCTCCCTCCCTCTCCATCCCCTCTCTCCCTCCCTCTCCATCCCCTCTCCTTCTCTCTCCTTTCCCCTTTCCCTCCCCTATCTCTCTCCTTCCCCCTCCACCTCCATCTCTTTACATTCCCCTCTCCCCACCCCCCTTTCCTTCCCCCATCATCATCATCTCTCTCTCTCTCTCTCTCTCTCTCTCTCTCTCTCTCTCTTCTCTCTCTCTCTCTCTCTCTCTCTCTCTCTCTCTCTCTCTCTCTCTCTCTCTCTCCTCCCCCCCCCCCCCCAGGTCATTCACGAGGCTGGCTGCGGGCCCGAGGTTTACGTGGCGTTCACTAACGGCCTGTGTTACGCGTTCACTCCCGGCGTTCCGCTTACGTTCAAGAGCGTGACTCACGAGAACGTGTGGAGGGCGGTGTCCAAGCAGGTCGCCAAGATACACAAGATACAGGTCAGGGGGCAAGGGACAAAAGATACAGGCCAAGGGGCAAGGGATACAGGTCAGGGGGCAAGAGGTACAGGCCAGGGGACAAGGGATAAAAGATACAGATCAGGGGACAAGGTATAAAAGATACAGGCCAGGGGGCAAGGGATGAAAGATACAGGCTAGGGGGCAAGGGATACAGGTCAGGGGGCAAGGGATACGGTGTGTGTATGTGTGTGTGTATGTGTGTGTGTATGTGTGTGTGTATGTGTGTGTGTATGTGTGTGTGTATGTGTGTGTGTATGTGTGTGTGTATGTGTGTGTGTATGTGTGTGTGTATGTGTGTGTGTATGTGTGTGTGTATGTGTGTGTGTATGTGTGTGTGTATGTGTGTGTGTATGTGTGTGTGTATGTGTGTGTGTATGTGTGTGTGTATGTGTGTGTGTATGTGTGTGTGTATGTGTGTGTGTATGTGTGTGTGTATGTGTGTGTGTATGTGTGTGTGTATGTGTGTGTGTATGTGTGTGTGTATGTGTGTGTGTATGTGTGTGTGTATGTGTGTGTGTATGTGTGTGTGTATGTGTGTGTGTATGTGTGTGTGTATGTGTGTGTGTATGTGTGTGTGTATGTGTGTGTGTATGTGTGTGTGTATGTGTGTGTGTATGTGTGTGTGTATGTGTGTGTGTATGTGTGTGTGTATGTGTGTGTGTATGTGTGTGTGTATGTGTGTGTGTATGTGTGTGTGTATGTGTGTGTGTATGTGTGTGTGTATGTGTGTGTGTATGTGTGTGTGTATGTGTGTGTGTATGTGTGTGTGTATGTGTGTGTGTATGTGTGTGTGTATGTGTGTGTGTATGTGTGTGTGTATGTGTGTGTGTATGTGTGTGTGTATGTGTGTGTGTATGTGTGTGTGTATGTGTGTGTGTATGTGTGTGTGTATGTGTGTGTGTATGTGTGTGTGTATGTGTGTGTGTATGTGTGTGTGTATGTGTGTGTGTATGTGTGTGTGTATGTGTGTGTGTATGTGTGTGTGTATGTGTGTGTGTATGTGTGTGTGTATGTGTGTGTGTATGTGTGTGTGTATGTGTGTGTGTATGTGTGTGTGTATGTGTGTGTGTATGTGTGTGTGTATGTGTGTGTGTATGTGTGTGTGTATGTGTGTGTGTATGTGTGTGTGTATGTGTGTGTGTATGTGTGTGTGTATGTGTGTGTGTATGTGTGTGTGTATGTGTGTGTGTATGTGTGTGTGTATGTGTGTGTGTATGTGTGTGTGTATGTGTGTGTATATATGTGTGTGTATGTGTGTGTGTATGTGTGTGTGTATGTGTGTGTGTGTATGTGTGTGTGTGAGAGAGAGAGAGAGAGAGAGAGAGAGAGAGAGAGAGAGAGAGAGAGAGAGAGAGAGAGAGAGAGAGAGAGAGAGAGAGAGAGAGAGAGAGAGAAAGAGAAAAAAAATAGAAAGAGAGCTAGAGAACGAGAGGGAGAGAAAGGAAAAGAGAAAAGAAGAAAAAAAAAATAGACAAAAAAAGCAAAAAAACAAAAACAAAAGAACAAGCCACAAAAAAAACGAAAAAAAAGACACAGATCATCCCCACACTGAACAAAATCCCTTTTAACAAACCCCCCTCCTCCCTCCAGCCCGGCGACAAAAGGAACCCAATGCTGTTCCCGAAACTACGGAAGTTCCTCTCCCTTCTTCCAGACTCTTTCTCCGATGCCGAAAAGCAGAAAAGGTAAAAAAAAAAAAAAAAAAAAAAAAAAAAGGCTGTTGTAATATATTCTTCGTAAGTGTTTATTTAAATTTATATATTTATTTATCTATTTATGTCTATCTATGTCTATTTATATCTATGTATTTATGTCTATCTACGTCTATTTATATTTTTTTTTATGTATATATCTATTGATTTATTTATATCTATTTATATTTATTTATATTTATTGATTTAGTTGTCCCTGTCTATCTCCTTCGTAAGCTTTTATTTAATTTTTGTTTTTATTAATTTACTTATATCTATATTTATTTTTATTTGTATATATCTATTGAGTTATTCATGTCTATTTATTTTTATTTTTATTTATTAATGTATTTGTATATCTATCGTAATTTCTCCTTCGTAAGTCTTTCTTCTTAAAAAAAAATCATTTTATTTATTTATCTATATATATATTTATTAATTTATATATGTTTATATAGATTTATATATGTTTATATCTATCCATATATATAATTATTCATTTATATATGTTTATTTCATTTATATATGTTTATATAGCTTTATATGTCTATATTTATTTATTTATATATATATTTTTTCATTTATATATGTTTTATAGCGGTCTGAGGACACCCACCATCTCCTTCCAGAGTCGCGGCGTCGGGTTGCACCAAAAAGCTGCTGAGTCAGATGTCCGACGAGCTGGAGGACCACCTGGTACCCTTAGGCTGCCCGGTCGTCTTCTGCCACAACGACCTCCTCGTCAGGAACATCATCTGGGACGACGACCACGGCAGCGTCACCTTCATCGACTTCGAGTACGCGGCGCCCAACTACCAGCCGTTCGATATCGCCAACCACTTCAATGAGTACTCGGGTGGGTGAGGGGAAAGGGGGGGGGGAGGGAGGGAAAGGGGGAGAGGGGGAGAGGGAAAAGGGGGAAGGGGACAGGGAGAGGGGTGGGGGGAGGGAGGGATGGAAGGGGAGATGGGGGGAGGGAGAGGGAAAGGGAGGGGGAGAGGGTGGTGAGGAAGAGGGTGAGGGAGAGGGTGAGGGAGAGGGAGAGGGTGAGGGAGAGGGAGAGGGAGGGAAAGGGAGAGAGAGAGAGAGGAGAGAGAGAGAGAGAGAGAGAGAGAGAGAGAGAGAGAGAGAGAGAGAGAGAGAGAGAGAGAGAGAGAGAGACCGAGACCGACAGAGACATCGAAAAACAGAATGAAAGAGAGAGAAAGAGAGACAAAAGAAGATTAAGAAAGAAAGAGAGAAGCAAGAACAACCGAACAGTTAACAACCAAAGTACATAGCCTATAAACCCAACTCGCCTCCCTATCCATAACCAAGACCCTAACCCACTGCAGGAATGGAGGAGCTGGACTGGACGCGCTACCCTAGCCCCGACGTACAGCGCTCGTGGCTCCGTAGCTACCTCTCCGAGTACCAGGGCGTGGTGGAGGACGAGGTCACCCTGCAGGACATCGAACTCTGGAGAGGCTGGGTCACGAAGTTCACCCTAGCGTCTCACCTCCTGTGGGGCGTCTGGGGGCTTCTGCAGGCCTGCCATTCCTCGCTGGACTTCGATTACATCACGTGAGTTCATCGCTCGTATTCAGAGAGACACTTCGGACACCTTTTTCGGTGATTGGTTGCGACGCGAGGCAGCACGACGGTGATTGGCGGAGACGTAAGACTGCCCCGACGCTGATTGGCTGAGGGGCGTGAGATGCTGGTTCGTCTCTGCTTTTAAGGTGGCCGAAGTGTCTCTGAATGTATTAAAAGGGTCTCTTCAGGTGTTCTGAAGAGATGACACGTTGTTTACCTGTTTCGATATAACGATATCCATTGGGAACAAATCGATGACAGAAATATTGCTTTTTCGTAGAGATAAGAAAAATTTCAGCCCTCGATGTAACTAATACTTTGTCCATGCCCTGTAATAAATATATTTAAACTTTAAAAAATACCGCATCCTACTCAGAATAATTCAAACCTAAAAAAAAGATAATTTCCTACTCAGAGAAATTTAAACTTAAAGAAAAGAAAACTTCCTACTCACAGCATTAGAGAGAGAGAGAAAAAAAACTTTAGCCCGTTTACCCCCTCGTTACGACTGTTCACAATCTTCCTCCTTATCCCCTTATTTTGCCTTTTATCTCTAATTTCCTCTCGTGCTTCTCCAGGTACGGCATATCTCGCATCGCCGAGTACAAAAGGAGGAAGGAGGAAATATTTCGCTTGGACGTCGCCATGAAGTAA